TTGTGCTTTCTCCCTGGGCTTAAATTTTACTGCCACAGCTTACAATTTGAAATGAATGAGGCACATATTTGAGAGTCAACAAATATGTAATACCTAAAGCCATGGGAGTAAACGGGACCAAAGAATTAGAGATACAATATTGAAAATAGGATTAGAACATACACTGAGTTCATGGAGTCAGCAATTTGATGTGGCTATCAAAATGGTAAAGTGATGATAGTGTATATTAATGCAATATTTGGCTCTAAAATAAGGCAGTGGATAGTCCTCTTGTCCTTGGAGCTGATCAGACCGTGCTAAGTGCCGTATTAATTATTGGGCACAGTACTAAAAGCAGGTTCAGAAGAGAGAGTCCAGGGAACAAAGAGACTAAACACCAAGATAAAACCGAAGAACTCTTGAAGCAAATCGTGAATGTTCAGTGTAAATAAGAGATAATCCTTCTTCAGATATTAAAAGGTAATCATATAGAAGCTGTGTAAAAATTACTGTGTATTCATTTATTCAACAATTATTATTGAAGTCATGGAGGTAGAATCTTGCTCGTCACAGCGGGCATCTAAGCATAGGCCAGGGGAAGATCTGTTAAAGATTTTGTAGGTCTTGTATAACAAGACCAGATGGATGGGTAGGTTAAGAAACCTTTAATGTACGGTCCAACCTTGAGTCTCTGTGATCCACCCTGACTGGGGATGACTGAGGCACGTCTACGAGGCAGCATCATTTCAGTGGACTCCCTGGAAGCGGACTTGCTTTCCAGTTTTAAGTCTACCTTACATAGTGTGACCTGAGAACCCCACCAAACTGGATGTCCTTCAGTTTCCTAAGATTGACAAACTGTTTGCTGAGGTCCCTAACTAGACTTTCTACACACATATAACCAATACACTTCAATTATGTAAATTTAGCACATGTATGTTTAATATTTTGGTTGTATGGACGGACTTTAAAAAAAAAAAAAAATGAGGGCTTCCGGGGAGGCGAAGGAAATGAGTCATGGCTCATTGTGCAAGCTGGCAAAGACAGTGTAAATTAATTTTGAATCATGGATAAGCTGTTTTGAATCATTACAAGTATATTAGATTTAATATTCCTCAAAGACGCACCCAGGAAAAGGAGGGCCTAGGAGGCAGCATCAGGGGTATGAATTATACAGCGATGCCCTTCCCATGGATCAAAGCAGATGTTAGCTTAGGCTTTACACGGAAAAATGTATCAGTGATATCCGTTTGCATTCATCATGCTCAACAGCAAGCTTACATTCAGATTTTTAAAACGTATCCTTCTAGTTTTAGTCACTTCTTTGAGTTTCATTTTTTATCTGGATGATTGGAATATCCCTGGGTTTTGATGACCTGTTCAGAAAAGGCTGAAATCCTAGAAGATGCCAGAGGAAAGCAGTTCTGGATAGCATGGAACTGAATTTGATAGCAAAAATTGGTTTGGCTCCTTTGTGAATGAACATCTATAAAATTATACCAATCTAATGGCAATTCCAAGATAATTTTTTCATGCTTAGCCAGTTGGCTGTCTCTTAGGGTATGGATCCTGGCCTTAGAGAGGCATCCTCTAGCTCAGTGAGGTGATAGCAATAAAACAGAAAGTAAGCAGAACCCTGCATTGCTTTCCCCATATCTTTTCCCTAATATCATAGTGGAAAGTTTCATTGGGTAAAAGGGGGAAAGGCCTCTCCTCCCTTCAGAGCCTTTTGTTGTTGTTGTTAAAGACACAAGATCTCATTCTGTTGCCCAAGCTGGACTGCAGTGGCGCAATCATAACTCACTGCAGCCTCAAACTCCTGGCCTCAAGCAATCCTCCTGCCTCAGCCTCCTGAGTAGCTGGGACTACAAGCGTGCACCTTGACACCTGGCTAATGTTTCTATTTTTTGTACAGATAGGGGTCATGCTCTTGCTCAGGCTGGTCTCAAACTCCTGACCTCAAGTGATCCTGCCACCTTGACCTCCCGAAGTGCTGGGATTGCAGGCGTGAGCCGTGTGCCCATCTCTTTAAGAGCCTTTGCAAAGACTCCCAGCAAAACTAAAGTCTCCAGCAAAGGCGGAGACTTGGCCTTTTAAGAATCCTAATTTCTCTGGCCCTGCCCTGCCTGCAGGTGCACTGAGAAATGGGCTGTCTCAGAGCAAGGCTTTTGCTCCATTCCTGCCCCTTCTCCTTGGCATGCCTCACCTCTGAGCCCTGGCTCCTGCAGCAGCAGTCTGATGAAGTGAGCTTGCCGGGGCGCACAGCGTTTTGGTATGCATGAATTTGCTCATCATCATCTCTTTCCTATTCACAGCTCCTCAGGGGTTTCCTGGGCAGCCAGAGATTTGCTATGGGGCGGGGAAAGCAGGGATTTAGAGCAAAACGTTGCCTGGGCAGGCTGGTTCTGCTGTTTAAAAGCACCTCCATGGCCACCTGCCTCTGCTTCTCTATGAAGGGGAGTGTTCCTGCCACACGGACAGAGGCCCTGTCTGCTCCATCAATTATACCCTGCGATGCCCATCTGCAGACATGGCGCTTTGCCCATTTATGAAGCCATAGGCCAGCTGCAAGAGAAACAAGCTGCATCTATTGAGAAGGTCAAAAGCCTCAAAATATAGGTGATTCTTTCTTAAGGCTTTGAGAGGTCATTGTACTCAGATCTAATTAAATTATTCTGAACTTTTTTCCTGGTCTATTTCAGGTGGATGGTGAAGACAAGGAAGGGATAATATTTGACTTAGTCTTTCATGATAGAGGGAGAAAAAAAGGGAACCACAAATCTTAAGAGCTATTATAGTTGTCAAACAGGCAATTAGGATCCACTTCCTTTCTTGATTTCGGACATTGTCCACTGTCCTCCACAAAGAATTCCTCATTTTTTTAAGAATATGTTTAGAAATAGTGGAGAGGGGGATTCAAAGATTATTTCCATTCATATGTGGGAATGGAGATCTCCTGTAGACTTCATAAGTTTTTTTCTTGATTCCTCTTATGAGAGAGCAAATAGTGACAGAGCACTCCCACCTTGTGTCTTCAGAATCTGCTTAACAACCTTTGTCCCCACACGGTGGTTCCCAGTGGCACAAACTTATCCAGAGTTCCCCACTTGCGAGCAAGCTTTGTTCTAGACTCCCTTTGGTAAGTTTTTGTTTTAGTTTTAAGAAATTGGAATATTATTTTGTAGCAGCCATGCTGCTTTTTAACATTTCCTTTTGTAAAAAATTTTTAAAAAGTTATAACAATATACACTGAGTTCCCTAATAACCTTTGCCCAATTTCCCCCTCATGTGAAGATTTTACGTAACCACAGAACAACGATCTAAACCGTGCATTTACTTTCGTGTCTCCTAAGTCTCCTCTCATCTGGGTCTGTTCCTTATGACCATCACACTTTGGAAGAGTATGGGCTAGTTATTAATATTTTTTAGAATATGCCCCAATTTGGGGTCATCTGTGTTGTTTCATGATTGAAATATGGTTATGCATTTTTGTCCAGAATACCAAAGAAGCAATACTGAGTCCCTCTCAGAGCATCTTATTAAGGGGAACTTGATATCCACATATCTCATTATTGATGATGTCAACTTGGATCACTTGGTTAAAGCAGTGTCTTCCAGGTTTCTTCACTGTAAAGTTATTATTTTTTCCACTTTGAAACCATGATTTTTGAAAGCGAGAGTTGCAGGATGATACCTTAACCCATCCGAGTGTGTAACCCATCCCAGTAATCACTGTGCCCCTCTGGGTGCTTGGAAAGAAGGGAAGGCAGGAAACCAAAACATGCTCTTTCTCCCATGGATCTATGTTTAATGAAGATGGTAGTCAATGTAAATATTTCTTCCAACCTTGTCACTGTAGTCACAGGTAACCACAGTGACCCAAGGGACAATTGCTACTCTCATGACAAAATGACAATAATATGAGTCAGATTGTCCTAGGTTTGAATCATAGGTCTGTAGTGTTGGACGAGTCAAACAAAATAGTGATAACAGTTTCTATCTCACAGAATTGATTTGAATGTTAGAGGTTATAAACATAAGGTCCCCACATAGGGCCAGATCCACAGTAGGTACTTAATAAAAGGTATTAACCATGCCTGATGGGACATGCGGTAGATTGATCAGCCGCCCATATTCGTGAACCCTTAGTCTGGTTTGTTCTTTAATTAATTAATTTATTCATTCATTTAAAACAATCTGTATTAAGTGCCTTTTATATGCCAGGTGCTGGTTTTATAGTCCCTGCCTTCATGGAACGTATACTCTAGTGGAAGAAAAGTCAATAAACAAATGAAAACTACATAAAATGTTAAATGCTGATGAAGGAAAACTGGGAGAGGGAACATATTTAGGTAGAGTTGTAGGAAAAACTTCACTCAAGATTTGCAGTGAAATCCAAAGGATGGCAAAAATTGCTCTAGGCAAAGAGCCAGAGGGAAAGCATTTCTAGCAGGCGGTACAGCAAAGGCAAAGGCCCACGAACAGGAAAGAGCTCTGGATGTCTGAGAAAATGGAAATTGGCCAGAGTGGTCAGGCACAGCGAATAATTTAAGAGCTACTTGTACTTAATGGCCAGAACTATTCAGAAGGCTCATTTGCATATTTTTCTTAGCTAATGACCACCTAGACTTCTGCTCAGTTTTAGACATGTCTACAAGTCACTCATGGTGTTAGAAATGTACCCTCCCCCTACCTCAGCCCTTACCTCAATTCTGCTTATACTTGAAAGTATTATTTATTCCACGGAAGTTTCCTTCCTCTTCTGTGGACATATCAGAATATTGAATGTGCGCTTACTCACTCACTGTCTTTGCCTTCCCATATCTTCCATGCCAGCTATGTTCCGCCAACCTGGTAACAATCTTGCTAAGGTCCACTTCCTGATCGCACAATTTGCTCTGCTTAAAAAATCTCTAAGCAGGCTGCAAACGTCGCATCCTTCAGCACAGGGAGTTAAGCTGTGAAAACAAGGTTGTCCGGCACCTTAAATATTGTCACGTTACATTAAAAACACATTATACCTGATTCTCCAATGCCCAGAGCAAAGCAGAGTCATGTAAAACCTGTAGGAGAAATCTTGGCTGGCTAAACTGGAAAGGATGTTCAGGTTTTCTTGGGATCTGTTTGCAGATGTGGTGTCACCTGGATAGGCCTATTGTGATGTGTGGCGGTGACCTGCTATGTTCTAGTTGTGTAGCAATGGCCCTGGGACCTCATTGTGGTATCTAGCAGCTCTGCTCAAAAGCATCATATGAAAAGTCTGGAGTCTGTAATCACAGGCAGAAGAGACAATGGTTGCCAAAAATTGATTTTCCACAATTAAGAAAGGTTTAGTTTTGAATCTGCAAAAAGGAATAGAGGGTATTCCTCTCTCACCCTCAGATATTTTCAGTTTTAGAAAGAGCATTATTAGTATTATAGGTTGAATTATAACTCTCCCCCCGGCAAAAATATATGTGTTGAAGTCCTAACTCTCAGTACCTCAGAATGTGATCTTACTCGGAAATAATGTCTTTACGGAAGTATCCATGTTAAAGTGACGTCATTAGGGTGATCCTTAATCCTGTATGTATTGGCCACATAAAAAAAGGAAATTTGGCCAGGTGTGGTGGCTCATGCCTATAATCCTAGCACTCTGGGAGGCCAAGGTGGGAGGATCAGGAGTTCAAGACCAGCCTGAGCAAGAGTGAGACCCCTGTCTCTACTAAAAACAGAAAGAAAGTAGCAGGACAACTAAAAATATATAGAAAAAATTAGGCAGGCATGGTGGTGCATGCCTGTAGTCCCAGCTACCTGGGAGGCTGAGGCAGAAGGACCCTTGAGCCCAGGAGTTTGAGGTTGCTGTGAGCTAGGCTGATGCCACGGCACTCTAGTTCAGGCAACAGAGCAAGACTCTGTCTCAAAAAAAAAAAAAGAAGGAAATTTATACACAGAGACACACACAAACACAGGAAGACAATGTGAAGAGGCATAGGGAGAAGACCACCACCTACAAGGCAAGGGGAGAGGCCTGGAGCACACCCTTCCCTCAAAGCCTTCAGAAGGAACCAACCCTGACAATACCTTGACCTTGGACTTCTAGTCTCCAAAACTGTGAGTCAGGAAATTTCTGTAGTTTAAGCCACCCAGTCTGTGGTATTATCACACCAGCCCTAGCAAATTAATACAATTGTTTATGACTTGAGGTGGAGGGGAGATCAGATGGGTAAAGACTTGAAAGTGAAAGAGATCTTCAGTTCCAATCCATTCCCTTACCCTACTGTCACTATAACACCCCCTAACCTCTAAGGCAGTGATTTTTCAGGCCTGCCTGCATTATTAGAATCACCTGGAAAATTTTGAAAAAATTTGGATGCCTGGGCACTCCAGATCCATTAAATTAGAATTTCTGGGAAAAGAGCCTAGGATCTGATCTTTTTCCTCCAAGTGATTCTATCGTGCAGAAAGGTTTGGAACCCTCTTGCATTAGTTTAATGAAGCGATCCTCCAAGTGTGGGCCCCAGACAAGCTGCATTAGAGTCACCTGGGAACTTGCTAGAAATGCAAATTTCTGGGCCCCACACCAGAGCTACTGAATCAGAAACTCTTGGGGTGGAGACCAAGAATCAACGTTTTAACAAGTCCTCCAAATTGTGCTTATACGTGCTCATATTTGAGGAATATCGATCTAATGCATTGATACTTTCCATGTTGGAAGGTCAAGAGAATCTGAAAAGTCAAAATGGGCCCTTTCGACACACAAAAAAGTATATATGCACAGAATTTTGTATTTAATATCAGACAGTTCCCTGGTCTTCCATGGATATCCCAGTGCCCAAAGACCCCCAGTTAAGAACTCCTGCCCTACACCTCCAATCCACCAAACCACACAGTTAGAAGAGGGCTTCTTGCCTTTCCTATGACAATTACAAAATAAACTTCGAAGGAAAAGGCCTCATCCCAGTGCCCCTCACATGCCCTTCCTTCTTCTTGCTAATTCGGGGCCTGCTTGGGTAAAACCTATGCCTCCTGCTTGTGGCCATCTATCTTCTTGCTGAAGTTTACAGGCCTGTGGTTGAGCTGTGTATTCACTCACCTGATACAAATAGCAATATTTTTCCTAGGCTCACATGAATACAAACAACCCAGCTGTGAAAAGATCAACGCATGTGTCTGTTGTGGCCAGTCAACTGCAAGTTATTTTTTGCAGCAGGGCACAGGAAGAATACGGCAGCTTTTCTCAAATCAGAATCATTTTTATGTGAAAGTGTCAAAGATGAAGAGTCATGGCAGAGAAGGTTGGTAATTAAAATACATCTGTGTCCAATTAGTGTACGTGTTACAATTGCTGAGATGGTAGCGATGTATGCTGGTACCAGGGAGAGGACCCGGAGCCTCAAACACTGCAGGCTTGTGAGCAGGGCATTGCCTTGGGCAAAAATTACAGTCAATATGGATGGAGACTATTTATTTATTGAATAGCAGCACTGTGCCTGGCATATGCCCCCAGAGCTTAAGATCTAAGTTACATAGACAGGCAGATTGCCTAGCCACTAGGTGGTCAGTGCTTGTTCGGTGGATACATGTAATGAAGTTCCTCATCTGTGTCCAATTGTATATCCAACTTCTGTGAACTCAAGATGATTTGCAATACCAATGCCAAACCTGACTCCTAGTTTTCCAAATGCAGAAAATAAAAAAAAAAGGTAATGTATTGTTGCTTGCCTTCAAGAATCTTGCAATGATAGCCATGTAAATTATGTTCTTTCCAGTGAAACCCTATTTTAGGCCCTAATACGTTTTTATGGGACAGTTTGTGCGTCTTCCTTCCTTTGCAAGGTGCCAAGAGTGGACGAAGCTAAAATCAGCTGGAAGAGATCTGTTGTTTCAGATCGAGCTTTTCTAATTTGAATTATAGAAGCCCTGATAATTTCTACCTAGGAAAGAGGGAAGTGTTGCACACACACACACACACACTTATAAGTTAGGTCTTGTTAAATGAAGCTCTTAATTCTGATGTTTCCTCTTCAACTATCACAACTTTCAAGTTGTGAAATAGATACATAATATTTATTATTTTCTAACAAAATATAAAATGTATTTTAATGCCCAAAGGTAAGTCAGGAAGGAAAAATTAAGAGTCACGTGACTGAAAGCCCATATTGGTGTGAGATTTGAATTCCTGCATGTGACGGCAAGTTGATTCATATTGGATTTTGTATATTCTGAAGGCTGTAATGAGTTATTGATCTGTGATAAACGAAGCTGACATTTTTGTAACCAGTAAACCATCAGTATACCCAGTAAGCATGGGTTTCAGTAATGTATCGTTATAATCAGGTCATAGTACACATTCGAAAACAGTTGTTGCAAGAAGGAACATAAACATATTTACAAATATGCATGGATGTCTACACTGTTTAATTCTCTCCTCTACCCACTGGGACATATATTTTGTTTTCCTTAGCACAAAGAGAGGTGTTCTCTTTACTTACCTCCAATATGTTTCCTTGACTTCAGTTGATGATGGATTAAGAGGCTGATCTGAACTCCACTTTTTCCCAGGCTTTTCTTAGGGGCTTTAAAACTTGTTTACAATTCAAAATTTAGACGACCCAGCCTTCAAATCCACCAAGTTATATTATCTACTCCAATAATATGGTTAGAAGTCCTGCAATCCCCACCCCTCCCCACAAGTCAAAGTTGTCTGTAACCCCTGAGCAATGGGGTTTCTCACTAAATTCAAGTGGGAATGAGGGACTTCCAAGGGTCTGTCTCAGCCTGAACAACACACTTTAGACATTGTTCTCAGGGAATGCAACAACTCTATTTTTAGAAGTAGCAGTAGGTGGTTGGGGGTGGAAGGGTTTCTCTGCGGTGGTATCTTGGCAAAAGTGCCTAGTGATATTTGCTGCCAAAGGGAAAGCGAAGGGTTGGAGGGAGTGGTAAGGACATGACATCTGCTGTACAGCTTCTTGGCAGCCCACTACTGTGACAGCCGTTCTCCAACAACCTTGCCCTAGGGTGATCGTTATTCTGATTTTGTAGTTGAAAATCTGAGGCTCCAAGAGTTCAGTTATTTTCCCTAAGCCACAGGTCTTGATAGAGCCGGGCCTTGAAGCTCTGCTCTAGGGACCGGCTGCACATTTCATAGATATAGATATAGTACTGGTGATAATAATACCTGTCTCATAGATTTGTTATTACTATAAAGAATAGCACTTATAAATACCTAATTGAGGACTTGACACAATAGGGACTCGATCCATGGAAATTGCTATTATCATTATTATTATCATCATTTTTATGGTAGTCATCATCTTCATTGTAGTTACCATCATCATCATCTTGTAAGTGCTACCCAGGCCCCTATTACTGTGGGATGGTATGCTTGGCACTTCATAGGCGTCCAACACATTTTTATAAAATTATTGAATAGAGGAGAAGATATATTTATTGCTCTTCTCACCTTCCTTCTAGGCACCGGGTTTTAAAGAGCTTACTAAAACAGGTCAGCTGCATTTCTCTTGTCTGGGAAGGGCAAGGACAATGCGTATCTATGAACTTGCAGGAAAGAAAGGAGAAGGACATAGGGATCTGACACTATCTCTCTTCACTGCCAGAACCACAGGATGGACATGTCCGCTCACAGAGTATCTTGATATACATTCTGGGGTCTAACAGTTATCCTGCTCTCCTTAAAAAAAAAGCAAGCCATGCCTTAACTTCCTCTCTGAACTCCCACAAAAACTTCTTAGGACACCAAAGTGCCCACAATGATGGTTTGTTTACCTCTTGCCTTTTGCCTGCTAGCAAAGATCGTGGCAATTTTCTCATTGGTTGATGATTGACTAATATTTATTGAATTTCAAGGTTCATCCTATTTTTACTTCTAAATTCTAATTATTTTCAGGTAATAATTCAATAAACTGTATTTGTTAGAATTCAGACTCCATAATCTCATTAGCCCATTGTTTTGAGTTTCAATTGTCCTTCAGTCTCTTTCAAAATCTCTCTTCCTATGTGGAGAAGGAAAAGAATGATGAATTTAAAAGTAATTCTAATTAACCTAATTCCATCACTGATTAAAACTTCCTAGTTTTTCTATCTCAACCTATCCACACCTTCTCCTTAGAAAAGCCTTATGGCATCCTCAGCACATACACCACCATCTCATTTCTGACATAGCACTTTGAGGAGCAGTAATAGAACACTTAGTGTCAAGACGCTTGGAGTCCATTCCAACAGGATGCTTACCTAGCTCACTGCAGCCAAAAGATTGCTAACTTCTCTGGGTCTCAGTTTTCCCATCAGTAAAATAGCAGACCTGGCCATAGATGAGCTTCAGAATCCATTCAATTTTAAGTCTATTCTATCAAAAATCATTCACTCTTTAACATATATAACATGTAACGTATAGGAAACATGCTTGTGGGATTATTCTCTTTTTCATTTCTCCTCAAAATGGTTATCTCTCATTATTAAAATATGTGTTTAGTGAGATTCCTTTGGGATTACATATTTTTGCATAACCTACAAAGTTTAACATTTAAAATGTGGTACGTGTATACCATGGAACACTACTCAACTACAGAAAACAGTGCTGATCTAGCACCTCTTATATTATC